TGGGTTTGTTTCACCTTGTATGTATTTGTGTTAGCTTGGGGTTTGGTGCACTGCGTTTATGTTTGTATTGTTAGTCTTTAATAAATTATATTGTTTATAACCTATCTGAAGTCTGCGTTTCCCTGCGTCAGTCACATACCTCTGGTCACACCCCGGAGCCCTGACATTACACCAAGGCCAATCCTGACCAGAAGTGGCTGCACAGGGAAGCCATCTTGGCTTGTTGCTGGGAAGGATGGATCTTGATGAGGTTGTGTATTTGTCGCTGCTGGTTTTTGATGACAGAGAATATGCTTATCAGGCTCTGAGGGAGTATACCCGGGATCAACTGCTAGAATGTATACGGATCGCTCATGTCCTAGTAGATCAGGGCACAGAGTTCTCTGAGGTGCAACCTTTGATTCAGGTTTGTGTAGAGTTGGCTTCATCTGGTACCCCTGAAAGCAGGAATGACTTTTTGCCACCATTTAGTGCAGACCAGGTAGAGTCCCTGGTATGGTTATTAGAGGATGATGTGGATTGCTTCTTGGAGCATTATGCTGCATGTTCACCACAGGTATTAAGGGATTGTATAAACGCAGTGCAGTCTTTGACCAGACAGGCTTTGTGTAAGCTGAGCTTTGTTCAACCCATACTGCAGACATGGACAGATTTGTTGCACCCAGCCTCAGTCAGCTTACAAAAACCCAGTCCTGCTTCCAATCTATTTCTTCAAAGCTCTATTCCTGCATTCCCAACAGCACCTCCAGTTACAGCCCAGTATACCCTGCTACCTACCGCATATCAGTCCTCTGTTCCCACTCGCTGCACCTATCCTGCCTTTAACCCTGTAAAGAAGCCCTCTGTAGCAACTGTTCCCTCCCCTGTTCCATCCTCCAGCTCTTCTCTGTCTCCAGCTGCTCCATTCGTTTGCAGACCTGCATTTACTTGCAGTGCTCCAGTAGTTAAAACCAGAAAAAAGCGAAAATTCTTTCCAACCAATACCATCCTGCCAGTATCCAAACCGGTGAGCCTGCCGTCTGAGAACCTGCCTTCCGTGGTTCAGCTGCCTGGTGCCTCGGCACCCGCACTTCAGCCTGATGTCTGTACCCAGCCTGATGTCTGTACCCAGCCTGATGAACTGATCCAGCCTGATGATCCTATCAGGCCTGATGACCCGGTGCCCGCTGTCATACCTGGTGACCCGTTGCCCGCTGTCGAGCCAGACGATCCGGTACCTGATGACCCGGTGCCCGCTGTCATGCCTGGTGACCCGATGCCCGCTGTCAAGCCAGACGATCCAACGCCTGATGACCCAGTGCCCGCTGTCATACCTGGTGACCCGATGCCCGCTGTCGAGCCAGATGATCCAATGCCTGATGACCCAGTGCCCGCTGTCATGCCTGGTGACCCGATGCCTGCTGTCGAGCCAGACGATCCAGCGCCAGATGACCCGGTGCCCGCTGTCGATCCAGACGATCCGGTACCTGATGACCCAGTGCCTGCTGTCATGCCTGGTGACCCGCTGCCCGCTGCCGAGCCAGACGATCCAACGCCAGATGACCCAGTGCCGCTGTCGATCCAGATGATCCGGTACCTGATGACCCGATGCCCGCTGTCGAGCCAGACGATCCAATGCCTGATGACCCAGTGCCCGCTGTCACGCCTGGTGACCCGATGCCCGCTGTCGAGCCAGACGATCCAGCGCCAGATAACCCGGTGCCTGCTGTCGAGCCAAACGATCTGGTACCTGATGACCCGGTGCCCGCTGTCGTGCCAATTGACTCAGAGCCCACTGTTGTGCCTGGTGACTCGGTGCCCACTGCCTTGCCAGATGACGCAGTGCCCGCTGGCGAGCCAAATTACCTGATGCCTGGTGACCCGATGCCCGCTGTCGAGCCAGACGATCCAATGTCTGACCCAGTGCCCGCGGTCATGCCTGGTGACTCGGTGCCCACTGCCTTGCCAGATGACGCGGTGCCCACTGGCGAGCCAAATGACCTGATGCCTGGTGACCCAGTGCCCACTGTCTTACCTGGTGACCCGATGCCCGCTGTCGAGCCAGACAATCCATGCCTGATGACCCAGTGCCCGCTGTCATGCCTGGTGACCCGGTGCCCGCTGTCGAGCCAAATGACCTGATGCCTGGTGACCCGATGCCCGCTGTCCAGCCAGACGACCCAGTGCCCCGCGGTCATGCCAGTTGACTCGGAGCCCACTGTCGTGCCTGGTGACTCCGTGCCCACTGGCGAGCCAAATGACCTGATGCCTGGTGACGCGATGCCTGCTGTCATGCCTGATGGCCCGGTGCCTGCCGCTCCGCCTGGGGGCCCGGTGCCTGTCGCCCCGCCTGGGGGCCCGGCGCCCACCGCTCCGCCTGGGGGCCCGATGCCTGTCGCCCCGGCGCCCACCGCTCCGCCTGGGGGCCCGGCGCCCCCGCCGCTCCGCCTGGGGGCCCGAGACCTGACGCTCCGTCTGGGGGTCCGAGACCTGTCGCTCCGCCTAGGGGTCCGGCGCCCGCCACTCCGCCTGGGGGCCCGATGCCTGTCGCCCCGCCTGGGGGCCCGATGCCTGTTGCCCCGCCTGGGGGCCCGGCGTCTGCCGCCCCGCCTGGGGGCCCGATGCCTGTCACCCCGCCTGGGGGCCCGATGCCTGCCGCTCTGCCTGGGGGCCCGATGCCTGCCGCTCCGCCTGGGGGTCCGATACCTGCCGCTCTGCCTGGGGGCCCGATGCCCGCCGCTCCGCCTGGGAGCCCGGCGCCCGCCGCCCCGCCTGGGGGCCCGATGCCCGTCGCCCCGCCTGGGGGCCCGGTGCCTGCTGCTCCGCCTGGTGATCCGGTGTCCAGCCCGATGTGCCTCTGCCCGATGTGCCGCTGCCCCGGAGTGCCCTGCCCGATGTGCCAGTCTTTGATATCTCGCCAGTTACCAGACCCGGACGGTGGAACATTTTGCCCAGCTAGGACTGTTTGGAGCGTCCTGAGGCCGCTCCTTGAGGGGGGGGTACTGTCAGGAATGGACTGGCCAGTAATGGTGGGACTCACCTGTCTTGTGGGCTGCAGTACCAGGGCTGGCCAGCGGGTGCTCCCAGCAATCAGAGACTCAACCCTGCAGCCAGCCAAACACCTGAAACTGCTTATGCAGGTGTATTTAAGTGATGGCCAGACCTGCAGTCTTTGCCTTGGTGTGTGTGTTTTTCCTGGGCCCTGTATCTTGTAAACCTGCATTCCTGTTCCTGTTCCTGTATTGTTGCTGACCCTGCTTGATCCTGACCGCTGCTGACTTCTCCTGTTCTGATCCCTGGCTTGTGACCCTGACCATTCTCTCCGCCTGCTCCTCCTGTACCTACCTGCCCGATAGTTATCGACCCGGCCTGCCTGATCACGTTGTGCTCTATATGTGTATGTACCTGTGTATCTGTATCAGTTTAGGTTTGGGTTTGTTTCACCTTGTATGTATTTGTGTTAGCTTGGGGTTTGGTGCACTGCGTTTATGTTTGTATTGTTAGTCTTTAATAAATTATATTGTTTATAACCTATCTGAAGTCTGCGTTTCCCTGCGTCAGTCACATACCTCTGGTCACACCCCGGAGCCCTGACATTGCGATAACTCCTCTGTAAACAGTAGGCTCCATCCACTTTTGATTACACTCTCTATGAATGGCAGCAATGAAGTTTTAGACCACCTAAAGAGGTACCTCTTACTATAGAAAACAGACAAAGTTCTTGTGACTCAGCTATCTCAGCAGTCTTTAGCCCTAGCTCTTCAGCTGGTTAGCTTCGGGGGCCCCGTTTTTACAGCGGCGCACATGAGTACAGTCCCAGTAAAGTCTGCATGCAGTAAATAATGCTGCTAGTTAGATTGCCAGTCCCTATGTGTTTAGTCTCTGCTAGCAGCAACAGGTTAATGGCAGCAGTGACCTCTCAACAGTTCCAGCTATACAGCAACAGGGGTCCCGATGTTCAGATGTCAGCTCACTTCTGGATCTGCCTCCAGCGACTCTGGTCCTCAGCACACAGCTGCAGGCTTGTAGCAGGTGGATGTACACACAGGAGCAGTGATGTGCACACCTTAAACTCTTTGTAGCAAAGAGGAAATCCCTCAGTATTCAGCCGCTGAAAACACAGCTGCCTCTCTCTTCATACCAGCTTGCTTTGGGAAGTGTAGTTCTATAGTCCATTGACTCCCTGTAATGCCTATGAAATGTGTTGGCCTTGGACCCTTTGTTTCTTGGGTAATTTTTACAGTAAAGCATTGTTGCCTAAATGCCAGGGGCATGAGAGGTGACTGATGTGTCATTTCTCTAGGTCAAAGGTCAAAAGAGTCAAAAGATATTCTGCTGAGAGCAAGATAAAAACTTGTTTATGGAATGAAACGTGTTTATGACATCTAGTAACCTCACATTAGGAGATAAAAACCTGTTTAAAGACGTCTAAGTTAGAAATCCTTAAGTTTGGGGTAAATGAGAAGAAGTTTTGGGGTAGATAAGAAGCAAAAGTGTGACTTTTCAGATAACGAATATGGTGGTTCAACGTGACTCTGTTATCCTCACGGAACCCTTCTGCTAGCTCCCCCTATGGTGGGTGTGGTGCTGCCCACTATTGGACAGCTTCCAGAAAATTGGTTTATAAGGCGGAGGTCTGGGCGAGACCAGTAAAAGCCCCCCCCCCTCCTTAGTGGCCAGGGATGCTCTGACGCTGGGATTTTGCCAAGGCTATATGGGTTCATTGACTGGTCGCGCCTATGGCTTTCCCGTGACCCCCTGGGCAGTTTGGTTCCGATAGGATTTGTTCCTCCCAGCTTCTAACATAGCTTTGGTAATGTATTAATTCTATGATATGATGCTGTCAAATGATGTGTCTATTTCATTCTGTAATGCTCACACTCTTATTGGTGTGTGTTATTATGCAGATTGTGATGACTATAAGATATATTCTCCTGTGTGTCGTGTGATAATAAAAGTGGAGGTTTTAACAGTGCAAAAATATTGCAGTTGGATTCTGTTATTTCTTGGAGTGCTAGGTGAATGCTATGATGTGCCAGGGCAAGTGTTCATTTGGTAGATGGTCTTTCACATGCATAGTATATGTAATGGTTTAAATGCTGATTAAAAGGTACCTGCATGCAGGGGGGACTGACAACTCATGGGGCCCCCGGGCAATAGGGGATCATGGGGCCCCTGTGTCCTTGCCCAAACTCAAAAAAGTCTATGAAAAAAGGTACCAAGGGCATCTCATGGGGCCCCCTACTGACCCCGGGCCTTCGGGCAGTGCCAGAGTTTCCAAATGGTCAGTCCGCCCCTGCATGACTATATGTTGATTGTGTGCGTGTATATGTCTTGCTTTTAGTTATTGCACCCAGCATCTCTATTACACTCCCTTAACATGATCCTTCCACTGCACACCATCTGCCATGATTCAGTGCTGCCAAACATCAAATAATAACAGGTCGTAGACTGATAGATGCAGTGTTGTTAACACTGTCAGAGGTAGAAGGGTGGTAACATCCTGGCGGGTTCTTGTGGAGCAAAGAAGAGGTTCTTTGAGTTGAAAAGGTACAGTTGGAGTTGTTGGGCAGTGCATTTCGGAGGAACTCCTCTTTCAAGCCTGAAATCAATTATAGAAAGGAGAAGCACTGCAAATGTCTTTCAATGCAGCTGACTCTATTCTCCACTCTTTAACACACCCTGGGATATGGGTGGGCCTTCACAGACCACACATACAGTATAACACAAGACCTTATATGATGCATTGTTCATGATGATGTTGGAGAGCCTGCAACTAACGCAACAACGAAGAGAAGCAGATTTGGGGAGCTGATTATACAACATGAAAAAAGTCTACAGGAGCCAGGCATAAGGTAAGTATTTGTACTATTTCCAATCCCTAGTCATTTATCCCATGCAGTGGCAGAAGGTTGGTGGGTGTGGGGTAGGGCAGTACATTGTTAAATTTATAGCAGTCAGTAGTTGGCCTTTAAAATGTGTTGTTTTTAATTTCTTTACATCTGTTTACATCTACAGTTTCATTAACCACTTGCACTCCAAAGGGTTTACCCCCCCTTCCTGACCAGGCCGTTTTTTGCGTTACTTTAACTGACAATTGCGCGGTCATGCAACGCTGCACCCAAATGATATTTATGTCCTTTTTTCCCACGAATAGAGCTTTCTTTTGGTGGTATTTGATCGCCTGTGCGTTTTTAATTTTTTGCGCTATAAATTAAAACAGACCGTCAATTTTGAGAAAACAACTATATTGTTGACTTTTTGCTATTAAACATGTCGAGTAAAAAAATTTTAAAAATCAAATTTAGGCATAAATTTAGGCCAAAATGTATTCTGCTACTTGTCTTTGCTAAAAATATCCCAATACGTGTAAATTAATTGGTTTACGTGAAAGTTAGTGTCTACAATTGGTGGTATATATAAATATATATATATAAATTTTTTTACTAGTAATCAGCGACTTATAGCAGGACTGCGGCGGGCATTCTGACACTGGGGGGAACTGACTTGGTGTCACTGACATCCCCAGTGACACTAATACATTGTTCAGTGCTAATAAAAAGCACTGACACTGTACTAATGGCACTGGGCAGGAAGGGGTTAACATGTGGGTTGATCAATGGGTTAACTGTGTGCTGTTTTACAGTAAGCCGTGTCTATGTTTTCAACTGTAAGCACACTACTTTGTATGGCTCTGCTATGCAGAGCCATACAAAGCAGTGTGCTGGAGCTGACAGGGGAGAGAACTGTACAGTTCTCTCCCCCCTTCAGTGATACTGAGCGCCCACCGGGTGGCGGCGAGTAATCACCGGCCGGGATCTGGTGATTGACAGTCAAAGCCGTGAATAGCAGCGCGGGTAGGACGCGTGCATGGCTCGCGTGCGCCCCCTACCATACCATATATATACGTGATTTTGCACACCATGCCGCCCTGTAGCAGTATTTCTGCTATAGGGAGGCGTGACAGCGGTTAGAATAACACCTGATGATACTGCCATGAAAGTGCTTATTCAACCACTTACTGCTATGAAGTATCAACACTCCATCCATGTGATACGGTGCTGCTTTACTTTAACTGATAATTCCGCAACACTGCACCCAAATGAAATTTTTGTCCTTTTTTCCCCACATATGGAGCTTTCTTTTGGTGGAATTTGATCGCCTCTACTTTTTTTATTTTTTGCGGTATAATCAAAAAAATAGCTACAATTTTGAGGAAAAAAAACAATACTTTTTACTCTTTGCTATTAAACAGTAAAAAATTTTAAAAATCAAATGTCTTCATAAATTTAGGCCACAATGTATTTTGCTACACGTCTTTGCTAAAAAAAAAATCCCAATATGTGTAAATTAATTTGTTTACATGAAAGTTATAGCATCTACAAATGGTGGTATATATACTGGAAATTTTTTTTATACTAGTAATGACGGTGATCACCGGGACTGCAGCAGGCATTCTGACACTGGGGTAACTGACTAACTGTAACACTGACATCAGTGATCAATGCTAATAAAAAAGCACTGAAACTGTACTAATGACACTGGACAGGAAGGGGTTATAATTTGGGCCAATCAAAGGGTTAACTGTGTGCTGTGTGTGTGTTGTATTGTGTAAGCACGCTGCTTTGTACTGCTGTGCTATGCAGAGCAATATAAGGTAGCATGCTGGAGCTGACAGGGGAGAGATCTGTATTGTTTATATACAGACCTCTCCCCCGTCAGTGATACTCGGCCACTAATTGCACCAATTGCACCAATGGTAGCGTGGAAATGCAAAATCACGTATATATATGTGATTTTGCGCAGCTGTACCACCTTCTAGCAGTATTTCTGGTATAGGGCGGCGGGCAAGCAGTTAAAGTGCAGACTGAGTAAAGCTGATGTAGGGATATTCAGCCCTCTACTGTCTGTATTTGTAAATAGCTTTTGATCAATAATTACCAGGGAGTTAGGTGGTTACAGACAGGTACTTCCTGTTCCTGCTAGTTGGGTCAGAAACCCTAACTGGAGGACTGTAATGTTATATAAAGGGGAGTTTCCAGGAAGTAGACATACAGAACTGAGCCTCAAGACCTACACACACAGGAGCTGCTGTTGCTGTTGTATTTCACCCAGACCAGAAGGAAAGACTATTAGGTAAGTATTTATATGTTCTAATAGTTTAGCTGTCCATAGCTTCTTGAGTATGATTCTGAATCCTTGTGACAGACGTCACTGTCCTATTGTTTTTATCTCACAAGCACAGTGCCAGATAGCTAGGTCTGTGCTACTGTATGTGTGTAGTGGTCACCTCCCCAGTATGTTAGTAGGTGAATCTGTTTATTGCAATAGAGTTTATATGCAGCTCCTGTTTTTTTTGTTAACCCTGCCTTTTCTGGTCTGGGATTCTATAGTTAGTTTTAGCTTGGGCTGAATAGCCAGCATAGGCTAGAGCCAGGTTAGGCATCCAATGGCAACAGTCTGGGGAGCAACACATCACCGTTGATCTTGTCTTCAGGTCTCCAGCACAAAGATGGACAACACATCATGATTATCCTTAGGGGCCTCTGCAACTGAACTTTGCTGTGACATTCATCTGGAGGTATCTGTATTAATAACTATATATACCGGGGTATACAGTATGTGCACAAATCCATCAGGACTCTTGTTGGACCCTTTGCCGATAATACCTGTCTGTACATTGGATGTATGTACAATTATTTATCTTTTCTTATATAAAGTCTGTATTATTTCCATATTGGTATGCATCTATATAATTATGGTTGATGTTATATGCTGGTTGCAGTAGTTCCTCTGCTTCCAATTTCTTTGATTAGATTACCGGTTTAATATTACAGAGAAGGAAGCCCCTCTGTTTACAGAGACCCTGTCCTGATTGGAGGCAAACCAACTTTATTTATCAAACTCACTCTTCCACTTAGTGAAGGCTCTGGTTCTCTTATTTACCAACAGGTTCAGCGCAGTATCCTGTTTATAATTTCTCATACCCCCTTTTCCCCAAAAGGGGGGGACACTGAATTCCAGAAAAGCATAAAAATACAGTTTACTTTCCAAAGGATCTGTAATAATGTTTAGTCAGCTGTGTGATCCTGGTACCCAGGGGCGGACTGACAACTCACGGGGCCCCCAGGCAATAGGGGATCATGGGGCCCCTGTGTCCTTGCCCAAACTCAAAAAAGCCTATGAAAAAGGTATCAGGGGCATCTCATGGGGCCCCCTACTGACCCTGGGCCCTCGTGCAGTGCCCGAGTTTCCAATTGGTCAGTCCGCCCCTGCTGGTACCCCCCGCCAAATACAACGTAACAAAACCCTGAAGCATAGCTTGGTCAAAAACACACATTTGCTGGATGAACATTGTGGACCCAGTAGCACACTAGTGAGTCATCACTCTGTTCTCTTCTCTTGTTAGCATGTTCAGTATCAATACATGTAAAATACACTAAAGCCTGATTAGATCACAAAACTAGCCCACTCTTATGGTTGCCACATACATTTTGACTTTATCGTCTAATAATTTTGTTCAATTGGTACATCAAATAGCCGTAACTTTCCTTACAATAAAGATCAAATTGAGTCAATTGACCGGAGCAGTAAATTATCAATTATTTTGCAGCTATTGACAGCACTGAGATGCTTTGGCCATGAATCTAATCAATCGACCAATCAACCAGATCATGAGATTGCACAGTGGAAACAGGAATGCAATAAATAACGTATGACTATAAGTATGTAACTAAATATGTATTGATTTGTCAACTTATTAAAAAAAACAGCCCTTGCACATATAAAAAAAATAACATATTTAAAACGAGGTCACATTTCTAAGCAATAATATTTCTCCACCAGCACCAATTAACTCACAACCATATTGGGAATGAAATGCTCAGTGTGTATAGGTTGCAGATATTTTGCATGTTGTTAAAATTGGAGTCTTTGAGCTTCCATTAACAAAAACATTGGTGCAGGCTCTGAAGATTCAAGGTATGCAGTTTGCATTAGCAATGAAAAAACTGAAGAACTGTTAGCAATATAGCAATATATTTGAGAAATAAAGTAGATGACATTTAATTTTCTAAATTACTGGGTGTCATAAAACAATTGCCATCCTTTTTTTTTACCTTTTAGAAAGTACTGTTTATACATTTTCTTTTACTCTCTCTTTTACTGCCACTTCCTTCCTACATTCTTGCATCTGGCAGCAGTTGCTCTGGACTAGCTTCTTGATGGGGACAATACTGGAATATGTCATGCTCCTCATAGTCTCCACTGAAAGCAGGGTGACAAAACAGGAGCAAACTTGGGGGAAAGGAAAAAATCATTGTAGATGTAAAGATGTAGATTTAAGAAAAAATTGAAAATGGCTTTTGAAATTCCATGAAAGAGTAACTTCACTCTCTTCTAACTCTCTTCACTTTCTTCTTCTGGGCTCAGGCAGCCTGGCTGCCAATCATGCGGCACCTTTGCTTCTGGCCGTTCTGTGAATTGACTTTTGCTGTTTTCTGAGGTTTCCAGAGGGCTGTGAGAACAGGACTTGTCATCCTGGGCTAGATCAGAATGGCTACAAATGGAGAAACAGAAAAAGGGCGCACCGACCTAGTGCATTATCGTTTAAAACAATTTATTAAAGAAACAAAAATAGGTATCATACTCACAGTGGACATAATAACACAGGCATGTCAAACTGAACAAGATGTATGATCCAAACAACATCTGAGTTCATACAATGGAACCTTGGATGACCATCTGGCTAACGCATTTCGAGGACACAACCTCTTCCTCAGAGCCAACCTCTGGATCTAGATCAGAATGGCAGATTGGGAGGGGATAGGAAAAAAGTGGGGCCACTAGAAATAAGTCCAGAAGAGTCCCCCCTGAAAAAAACTGTTATTGTGGGGGTGGTGATGAGGCATGGGCCTAAACTTCATTTGTGGAGTGAAGTTCATTTTTAACATTTTGAAAACTTTATACAATTTTAGTTATTGGGTTTACATCTACTTCTACTTTAGAATGGTTGGCAAATTTGACTTTCACCAAACATTCACTGGGTGTGAGTCAATCACTGTCATTTAAAACACACATCAGGGAGATACAGCTGCATTGAATGGTGAATTTGTGATTTATTGGTTTATAGATATACCCCTAAGGGCTTGTTCACATCAGATGCTGTGAGACTGTGCTGGACATCTATATCGGCAACACCTGCCTGGAGTTTGCATGTTTTCCCTGTGTATGCATGGGTTTCCTCTGGGTACTCCGGTTTCCTCTCACACTCCAAAGACATGCTGGTAGGTTAATTGGATCCTATCTAAATTGGCCCTAGTATATGTACTGTATGTATGAATGTAGATTAAGGACCTTAGATTGTACGTACCTTGAGGGTTAGGGACTGATGTGAATGTACAATATATACTGCATATGTAAAGCGCTGCGTAAATTGGCAGTGCTATATAAGTACCTGAAATAAATAAATATCGGTGCAGTCCCACAGCAAGACAAGGCAAAATGCCTCATCTCCTGCCAGAACAATTTACTGTTTATACCCAGGAAAACTGTCCAGGTCTTCCCCAAATATTTTGCCCCATAGCCAGGCACAAAGGCTCATTTACATGTTTCTCCAATAACCAGCCTAGGGGTGTTGTTTTCATGTTTTTCAGGTTTTTTTGGGGGTTTTTTTTTGAGAACTTAAATAGGGTTGAGGGAGATGAGTGGGATACTCCAAAAATAGGAACCATGTACACTTAAGGACTTTATTTAATCTTCAGGACAAGCCATTCATAGTCTATACTTGAATCAAACAGTGTACTTCAGCTTCAAGGCAGTAGTAAAAAGTAGTAGTAGTAACAGTGGTAGTAGTAGTAGTGGTAGTAACTTCTTTAGAGCTCCAGAGCAGCTCCCCTTTAAAATTAGGCCAGGTGGACAAAGCTCCTTGGAACCCCAGCTGATGTTCCCTTTACTAGACCCGCAGCTGACTTCCCAGCACCAGAGGGTTTAAATAGCACTTAGTCTCTAAGATCCTTTAGAGATGTCTGTACTCACAAGGCCCAAAAGTAACTGGATGCCTTCCTCCGCGATACCAGACCAGATCTTCAGTAGATAGCCTCTCAGTCAGCATAGTGGGATCGGGGTCAGCATTCAGACCCACCGGTCACCCACCTGAGGCCATACAGCAGTAGTTGCCTGAGAGGGCAACATGCCCTCTCCAAGGCTGGAACAATCCTATACAGGAAAGATCCAGAGGCTGATGCTGTATCAATGTTCATGGTGCCATCTGCATAGTTCCACACCTATCATCCAGAAACTTCTCAAGTTTGTTGGATAATGGGCAAGCTAGGCTGACTGGAATCAGCTGAACACACAGAGCAGACCCAACTAAATGATCACAGTTCACCAAGTACATTGAGCTAACTATGCTTTTACCTAACAAAATAATTACGGCCACTCTGACTACAGAGTGACAACTAAATTGACCTATCAAATACACAACTAATTCTAACTACTATTCACAACTATTTCTTATAAAAGTAATTGCTTTGTCCAGTAATCTAGTTATAGGGAGCACAGGTGTTGGTTTACCAAATAAATAGTTGCTTAGCAAAACGAATGTTCAATGAGTTTACCTTTAGCAATTGTGTGCTAACAAAAATCCCATTTTGAGATTCATGTTTTTTATTAGGATCACTTTTCTGAATGAACTGTCTCTACTACTATTCATATGTAGCACCACCCCCTTGGGAGTTGCTGAAGATTTGGGTCCCCCTATAGCGCTGCACAGTCAGGTAAGACACATTTTCTCACAGACTTGCATCCAGAGTCAGAGATCAGTCCTTGAGCTTTGGTTTTGTTGTGTTATTTAGGGGATTTGAACTGGGATAGGGTTAGGGGTGTACAGGATGCCCAAGGGAACTGATGAACTGAGGACAAGTTCCTGGAACTATTTACAAGCCTTCTCTGCTACACAGTTTTTTATTAGAGAGCTAGCCAGCGTCTCCTTAAGGTACCACCCCAAACCCTAGATGAACTCCTTCTCTTCACCCAGCAATCTGGAGGTATCCCTGAACAGGGGATCTGGTGCCTGTTACTTTAAAAGTGGACAGTTCCAAGTAGGTAGTGAATCTGGTTTCCCACCAGATTGGTCCTTCCCCTATCCGCCCAGGGCAGGGGTGGACTGACCATTTGGAAACTTGGGCACTGCCCGAGGGCCCAGGGTCAGTAGGGGGCCCCATGAGATGCCCCTGATACCTTTTTCATAGGCTTTTGTGAGTTTGGGCAAGGACACAGGGGCCCCATGATCCCCTTTTGCCAGTAAAAATGAGTCAAAAATGCATCAAACATGCATCAAAAGCACGTGTAGAAAAAAACGCAAAACGAACTGTGAAAAGCACAAAAAGCAAAACTGCGTATGTGTGAATGGAGCCTGAAGGAGGACACTGGGCAGTAATCCCAGCTGCGCTGAGACAATCAGTTCTAAAAATGGCTCATGAAGGTCATATAGGTGCAGTACTGACAAAACAAATTTACAGAGAAGATGTATGGTGGCCTTGTGTAGACGACTAAATAGAAACTTTAGGTGGCAATTGTGAATCATGCTTCCTCAGTGGCAAAAATCAGTGGAAAAAAAGCTGCTCCATTGCAAGTTAGACATTTCCCAAAAGGCCTATGGAAGATAATTCAATTTGATGCAAGTGCAGAAATTACAGTAGCACAAAACATCAAAGATATGGTTTGGTAGCTTGTGATTTGTACTGGAAATGGCCAGATGAGAGTACAACAGAAGTCATCATGACCACTAAAGTTTTCATCACTGCCGTGGAGGGATGTTCCTCAGTGTGTGGACAACCACTGGAAATCATTACTGATGGTCCACAATTTACTTCAAAAGAGTTTGACACTTTACTTAAATCAAAGGGAATAAAGCACATCTAACTCCACAACACCATCCACATGCCATGGAGGTGTAGAATGTTTTAACCAGACATTTAAAAATGGCCTAAGTACAAGGTCAAAGCAAAAACTTACACTGATGGCAAAAGAAATGCCAAGACAACTGTCCTCATTCCTGGCCAGTTAGTGAGGATAACCAAGTTAAAGTTTAACCTCAGTCTAATCCTGCGTGAATCCATAGCTAACTGGGACCAGTAACCTATACGGTAGAGGATGGATCAACTTGGTATGTGAGCAGGCGAGAACCTGTTCAAGATCCTTTGGTTGGGCAGATCACTACTCCTAAATGGCTGACGTGGTATGATGCATCCAGCCTACCACACAGCCACAAACATCTGG